ACCGACCGAGGATCGAGCCCCAGTACGATGCTCTGCCTCAACGAGGCAGCATCCCACTGGGAGGCCCGAATCACCCACCCTTCAGTCCTAAGGGCCGGATTGCCAGTCCGGATCCTCCTAAGGACCTCCTGGGGAGGCGTCTCGATCGGCGCTGGTACCCAAACCATCGCCCTCTTGAGCCTCTGGAGGGCCGACTGCTCAATAATCTTGAGCGTCTGTCCCTCCACCTTTATGCCGGTTACAGCCCTCTTCAGCCAAGCCAGAGAGTCCCCGTCCGTACAGATCACCATAATGGCTCCCCGGGCAAACGAGTGTCCCTCAAAGCTCGGCACGAAGGTGGTGCCCGGCTTGTACATATCCTCATGCAGACGCGTGAGGATATTCGCGTACTGCTCCTTGATGAGCAGATTGTCTGGGTAGCCATCACGGATGATGGCCACCTTGAGGTCGCTGCTTGCAGCTTCCCCATACGACATCCGCCCACCAGACGCAGTACACGCCTTCTTGGGGACCGGTCTGGCCTCCGGGGGCGTATCAGTCACCCGGGGCCTTTTGGTCCCCCCTTTGGGGGCATCGGGCTTGACTCCGCTAGGGCCGGCACTCTCGTGCGTGCCCCGGCTCGGTCCTGCCGCCGCCACCTTCTTGCAAGGGCCAGTTGGGCCACCTTTCGGCGTCCCTTCCGCCGCCCTTGCAGCTTGGCGTCTCCGCCTCTTTTCCGCGCCGCAAATGCGGCGCCTCCTAGGTACCTCAGATGAAGAGGCAGTTGTTCCCGGCAAAGCCTGGGCGCCAACCGCTCCCTCCACCTGGTGTCCCGAGGTCCCTGTTTCGGGATCCCTCTCGGGAGACTGTTGAAGGGCCCTTTTTAGGTCGCCCATCTCCAGCGTCTCCTCTGAGGTCTCCTTTTCCAGAGCCCTCCCTCCGTCAGATATATTGGTGGTCTCCATAAATGGTCCCACGAGCAGCTAGGGAAGTATTCGGTCCACCTCCGCAGAGCCCCGCATGCGGAGGTAAGGCTACTTACAATGGGGTTTCGCCCGGTTCCCCAAGGTCGGAACCGGTAAAGATCGATCTTCTGTTCGACCACGCATCCTATGGGCCCGGTCCCCCGCCTCAGGATTCAGGTTTCTTGTTGAGGTTGTCTCCTCTTAGTCCAGGCGGCTAAGCCACGACCCCCGACTCTCTGGCCCGCGAGACATGACCACAGTCAGCCAGGTTGCCGGTCTCACAGAGGTCCCACTCGGGCCCTCTGGCATCGTTCACCCCGTGCAAACCCTTTTTTTTTTTTTTTTTTTTTTTTTTTTTTTTTTTTTTGGCGGGTGGAAATCCTTTATGGACACCGGGTACAGGTTCTTCCCTTCCCCGGTAGTGTGAGACTCCAAGGCGGGGTGTGCAAGCCTTGTTTACCCACTAAAACCACCCCCGGTTTGACCTCGGTCCGCTGTTGGTATTACCCGTTGCTGGGGTTTCCATCAACAGCGGATGGTTATCTATCCATTTCGTTCCCTATCTTCCTCCTCCTTTTTCTTCATAACCTTTATTATGTAATCGTGTGCTTTTGTCCACGTCTCCTTATTTAGTGTCATTTTTTCCATCAAATCTGATATATTTATAGGGCCTATCTTTTCCTCTAGTTCTGTCCTCTCCCTTTCCCATCTTGCACACTCGAACAGAGTGTGCTTTGGCGAGTCCGGGACGTTGCATTCTATGCAGTTGTCAGTTTCTGTTTTATTTATTCGTTTCGTGTATGTGCCGTAGCTCCCGTGTCCCGTTAAAGCTTGGGTAAGAAAATACTCTGTTCTCCTGTGTTTACAGTTTACATATCCCCTTAGATCTTTAATGATTTCCCTTGTCCACTTTGCAGTACTTGCATTTTCCCGATTCCATCTTTCTGCCCATTTTTCCAGCGTGATCTCTCTTTCCTCCTTCTGAGCCATTAGTGTTGTTCTGTCTGCTCGGTGGTAAATTCTCGTTCTTTCTTCCGCTAATAAATCTATTGGTGGGATACCAGTGACCGCTTGGATAGCTTCTTCGGATACCGTCCGGTAAGCAGCTGCTACTCTCAGTAGGGCGACTCTTTGCGCGCCTGCGAGTTCTTTCCTATACTTTTCGATTTTCAGCACATCAACCCAGATTGGGGCTCCATACAAGAGGATGGATTGGATTATCCCGTACAAGGCTTTTCTTTTCTGGAAACCAGGGCCCCAGGTATTAGCCATTAAACCCGACATGGTATTTAATCTCGTTCTAGCTTTCTGCGCTACATACTGTATATGAGGACCGAAGGTAAGTTTGTGATTTAACGTGACGCCCAGATATTTAACGGTTTTTGCTTTTTTCAGTTTTTTCCCGTAGATATTTACTTCGATTTCATCCTGTCTCTTTCCCCTTGGTCCCTTTAAGATTAAGTACTCGGACTTTTCAGGTGCTATTTTGAGTCCATGTTGCCCCATCCATGTAGCGATTTCCTGGTTAGTATATTCTACTTTACAGTTTACTTCGTAAGGGTTATCCCCTCCGACCAACACCGCCAGATCGTCGGCATAAGCGATGCTAAATGTGTTTTCGGGTAGTCTGAGGCTGAGCACCCCGTCGTACAGGACATTCCAGAGTAGAGGTCCGAGTACAGAACCTTGAGGTACTCCCATATTTGTCCTTATTTCCGTTCTACCAATAATAATCTTCCTATTGGAAAGATAGTCGTCCACTATGTTTTTTAGGTAGTCCGGTACGCCTTTTTTTGCCAGGGCTGCCATTATTTTGTCCCATGCTGCCACGTTGAACGCATTTCTAATGTCATAGGTAATCATTACCACGTACTTGGCTAAGGAGTTTACCGTTAGATTTTTAATTTTCATTACCGCATCAATAGTTGAGCGACCTTTCCGGAAACCAAATTGGTTGTCCGAAAGTTTCTCATTTTCCTCTAAGTAGCCGTCTAGTCTTACCTTAATTACCCGTTCGTAGATTTTTCCCACCGTACTCAATAGGCAGATGGGTCTAAATGATGACGCCTCCCTGGCAGGTTTCCCTTTCCACGCTAAAACGACATTAGCTTCCTTCCAGACCTCAGGAAAACTCTGATCGATTAGGTATTTATTTAGAAAGTTCAAAAATTCAGTTGGCTTTTTCTCGACGATAATTTTTACAGCTTCTGGTGGAATTAAATCGGGGCCTGGAGCTTTCTTCTTCTTTATCGCAGCAGCGGCAGCATGTAGCTCTTCGTTGTCGATTTTTTTAATTTCTTCGACATTCTCGTAGCGTATTCGTCTTCTCGCTTTATCTTTCGGAAAGAGTTGTCGACACCAATTTACTTTCTGCTTCATCGTTGGATAATACGGAGCTCTTGGTCTACCAATGTGCGTGGTCGCAATTTGGTATCCTTGGCCCCAAATGTCGTTATTCAATTCGTCGCAAAGGTTCTTCCAATGCAGCTTTTTTGCCGATCTAATAGCTTTTTTGAGGTTACTTTTACATAATTTGAAGTTTCTTTCAGCTTCTATACTTTGCAGATTTCTTCGACCGTGTTTCTTACATAATCTCGTATATAAACGCCTCGTTTCTATAGCTGTTCGTTTTAGTTCGTCCAGTTCCGCACTCCACCAATATGGTATTCTCCCGTCGCGATATTTCACTTTCATGGTGCATTCCTTAACTAAATTCGAAATATTTTTGCACGCCTCTTTAGCGCTCGTATCTTTATCGACACGTAAATTCTTTACTTCCTTTTCGAATCGAATATTGTTTAATCTCGAAACATACCAGTCGTTTTCTTTTTTATTTACTTTGTCCTTGATTTCGTATACGATATGCTTATGGTAAGTGAAGACTTCACCGTCCAGTAACATCCAATTTTTAATATTTTTTACCAGTTCCTTAGTCGCGCAAGTAACGTCCAAGTGAGAGATGCTACTCCCTCGTACGAAAGTCGGGTCTCCGTTATTAATGCAGGTCATGTTTAGCGTCGCAAGCCACCCTTCGATTATTTCTCCTCTCTCGTCCGTTCTATTAGAACCCCAGATAGTCGATTTCGCGTTTATGTCTCCGGCAAAGATTGCCTCTTTTTTTGAGTATTTTAGATCGTTCATTAGATTATCGACATATCTCTTAAACGTTTCGATGTCCAGACTCGGGGGCATATAGCAACTATATATATTGTATTTACCTAGATCGATTTTCACATATCCTTTCCCTGCTTTGTGCCGTGCAAACCCTAAGCCACGACACTACAGCCGGGTTGGGGGGTGGTCCGCGGTGGGGCCTTCAGGTCCAGCTGGTAGTCTTGCGGGTTTTAAGCCGCTCATACCAACCATCAACCCTTATAGCCCACACTTCCCAGCGCGTACCCATCCGAACTGCCATATTGCGGTGTTAGACGCTCAGACAGCCCTTCCGGACGCTGGGTTACCCCTATCCGCCACCTGGGGACGCGCCCGATGGGTTCCACCACACGGGATTGAAATGTACACTGGTAGACTGGATTTCAGCCGGCTAAGAATATAACATTGATTTCCCTATTATGCGCGAAAAATTTTCTAACAGTGTATGGACGACACTGATTTTTTTGTCTTCGTTTAAAAATTCAAGCTAGCTTTTCCTATTTTAGTTCAGACTTTTCAGTCAGTCTGAAAAGTGCTGATTTTTGCGATTTATTGTTTGTTGCTTCCAATATCTATTTACCTACCTACATAGTTTTGCCTGGTACGCTTTCTGTAGTTGTAGAAATTTCGTTTCAATTTCTTTTAAGTTTGAATAACTAATAAATTGATATTAAATATGGATATTATAACTTATCGTAATCCAAAACGGCGGCTAAATAAATAGCAATTGGCTAATTATTTTAACAATTTAAAAATTATCTACAAAGAAGCTCTTAAATTTACAAATAACGACGAGGTTATTGTAGGTTATAGAGGTTATTATACATGATCTTCAACTTGGTTCGAAATATAAAAGCTCGTTATTTTATCAACATTTTAATTCGTTAAAGGAAAGCTTTTTAGTTAGAATTAACAATGACCGTGAGTATAGAACCCGTAAGTATGTCGTCTGCTGTTTTGATAATACGGTTTCATTCCAAAATAAATTATATTCTTCTTCCTTTCAAACCCTACAGAACTCCTGGATCAAAGAACCTAGTGATATTAGCTTGATAAGAAGGCAGCTATGAATTTTGTATTTGAAAAAAAAAATTGTAATTAAATTATCTATCAAACGGTTTTTTAAAATTAAAAATCGGTTAATTTTTTAGTCCAGCCACCGTTTTTTGTTTTTTTCTACCATCCGTAGGGGGTTTATTTGAAGGCAGCTATGAATTTGGTATTTGAAAAAAAAATGCAATATAATTATCTATCAAACGCTTGTTTTAAATTAAAAATCGGTTAATTTTTTAGTCCAGCCACTGTTTTTTGTATTTTTCTACCATCCGTAGGGGGTTTATTTGAAGGCAGCTATGAATTTGGTATTTGAAAAAAAAAATGCAATTAAATTATCTATCAAACGCTTTCTTAAAATTAAAAATCGGTTAATTTTTTAGTCCAGCCAACTTTTTGTATTTTTCTACCATCCGTAGGGGGTTTATTTGAAGGCAGCTATGAATTTGGTATTTGAAAAAAAAATTGCAATTAAATTATCTATCAAACGCTTTTTTAAAATTAAAAATCGGTTAATTTTTTAGTCCAGCCACCTTTTTGTAATTTTCTACCATCCGTAGGGGGTTTATTTGAAGGCAGCTATGAATTTGGTATTTGAAAAAAAAATTGCAATTAAATTATATATCAAACGCTTTTTTAAAATTAAAAATCGGTTAATTTTTTAGTCCAGCCACCTTTTTGTATTTTTCTACCATCCGTAGGGGGTTTATTTGAAGGCAAATATGAATTTGGTATTTGAAAAAAAAATTGCAATTAAATTATATATCAAACGCTTTTTTAAAATTAAAAATCGGTTAATTTTTTAATCCAGCCACCTTTTTGTATTTTTCTACCATCCGTAGGGGGTTTATTTGAAGGCAGCTATGAATTTGGTATTTGAAAATGTGGGGGTGTTTGGCTAGCCCCACACTTAATATTAATTAAAATGATAAAACTGAGAAAAACCCAAGGTTGACGTCTCGATGTGTAAAACGTATATTTGGAAATGAAGTGGGAGAATATAACAAATGTTCCTATATATATGACAAAATCTCCTGGAAACATTATTGTGGAGACCGTCTCCGGGGGATCCAGAAACAGACGCTTAGCTGCGTGTATTGGGTGATCCGCCATTGCTGTCCTGTAGCTGTGAATCACCCGCGCCCAAGGCCCACGACAACTAATGACGTCTAAGCTTCTTCTAGCAATATTCCTGCCATATCAAAATTGCCGCTTGATGGCCGACAGGATTAGTCGTGATAGACCAAATCAAAATTTATAAAGAAGCACCACAGAAAAAAAAAATTGCAATTAAATTATCTATCAAACGCTTTTTTAAAATTAAAAATCGGTTAATTTTTTAGTCCAGCCACCGTTTTTTGTATTTTTCTACCATCCGTAGGGGGTTTATTTAAAGGCAGCTATGAATTTGGTATTTGAAAAAAAAAATTGTAATTAAATTATCTATCAAACGGTTTTTTAAAATTAAAAATCGGTTAATTTTTTAGTCCAGCCACCGTTTTTTGTTTTTTTCTACCATCCGTAGGGGGTTTATTTGAAGGCAAATATGAATTTTGTATTTGAAAAAAGAATTTGTAATTAAATTAACTATCAAACGTTTTTTTAAAATTAAAAATCGGTTAATTTTTTAGTCCAGCCACCGTTTTTTGTTTTTTTCTACCATCCGTAGGGGGTTTATTTGAAGGCAAATATGAATTTGGTATTTGAAAAAAAAAATTTGTAATTAAATTATCTATCAAACGGTTTTTTAAAATTAAAAATCGGTTAATTTTTTAGTCCAGCCACCGTTTTTTGTTTTTTTCTACCATCCGTAGGGGGTTTATTTGAAGGCAGCTATGAATTTGGTATTTGAAAAAAAATTGCAATTTAATTATATATCAAACGCTTTTTTAAAATTGAAAATCGGTTAATTTTTTAGTCCAGCCACCGTTTTTTTGTTTTTTTCTACCCTCTGTAGGGGGTATTTGAAAGCAGCTATGAATTTTGTATTTGAAAAAAGAATTTGTAATTAAATTATCTATCAAACGTTTTTTTTTAAATTAAAAATCGGTTAATTTTTTAGTCCAGCCACCGTTTTTTATTTTTTTCTACCATCCGTAGGGGGTTTATTTGAAGGCAGCTATGAATTTGGTATTTGAAAAAAAATTGCAATTAAATTATATATCAAACGCTTTTTTAAAATTGAAAATCGGTTAATTTTTTAGTCCAGCCACCGCTTTTTGTATTTTTCTACCATCCGTAGGGGGTTTATTTGAAGGCAGCTAGGAATTTGGTATTTGAAAAAAAAAAATTGTAAATAAATTATCTATCAATCGCTTTTTTTAAATTAAAAATCGGTTAATTTTTTAGTCCAGCCACCGTTTTTTGTTTTTTTCTACCATCCGTAGGGGGTTTATTTGAAGGCAAATATGAATTTTGTATTTGAAAAAAAAAAATTGTAATTAAATTATCTATCAAACGGTTTTTTAAAATTAAAAATCGGTTAATTTTTTAGTCCAGCCACCGTTTTTAGTTTTTTTCTACCATCCGTAGGGGGTTTATTTGAAGGCAGCTATGAATTTTGTATTTGAAAAAAAAAAATAGTAATTAAATTATCTATCAAACGGTTTTTTTAAATTAAAAATTGGTTAATTTTTTAGTCCAGCCACCGTTTTTTGTTTTTTTCTACCCTCTGTAGGGGGATTATTTGAAGGCAAATATGAATTTTGTAATTAAAAAAAAAAATTGTAATTAAATTATCTATCAAACGTTTTTTAAAATTAAAAATCGGTTAATTTTTTAGTCCAGCCACCGTTTTTTTGTTTTTTTCTACCCTCTGTAGGGGGTATTTGAAGGCAGCTATGAATTTTGTATTTGAAAAAAGAATTTGTAATTAAATTATCTATCAAACGTTTTTTTAAAATTAAAAATCGGTTAATTTTTTAGTCCAGCCACCGTTTTTTGTTTTTTTCTACCATCCGTAGGTGGTTTATTTGAAGGCAAATATGAATTTTGTATTTGAAAAAAGAATTTGTAATTAAATTATCTATCAAACGTTTTTTAACATTAAAAATCGGTTAATTTTTTAGTCCAGCCACCGTTTTTTTGTTTTTTTCTACCCTCTGTAGGGGGTATTTGAAGGCAGATATGAATTTTGTATTTGAAAAAAAAAATTTGTAATTAAATTATCTATCAAACGTTTTTTTAAAATTAAAAATCGGTTAATATTTTAGTCCAGCCACCGTTTTTTGTTTTTTTCTACAATCCGTAGGGGGTTTATTTGAAGGCAGCTATAAATTTGGTATTTGAAAAAAAAAAATTGTAAATAAATTATCTATCAATCGCTTTTTTAAAATTAAAAATCGGTTAATTTTTGAGTCCAGCCACCGTTTTTTGTTTTGTTCTACCCTCCGTAGGGGGTTTATTTGAAGGCAGCTATGAATTTGATATTTGAAAAAAAAAATTTGTAAATAAATTATCTATCAATCGCTTTTTTAAAATTAAAAATCGGTTAATTTTTTAGTCCAGCCACCGTTTTTTATTTTTTTCTACCATCCGTAGGGGGTTTATTTGAAGGCAGCTATGAATTTGGTATTTGAAAAAAAATTGCAATTAAATTATATATCAAACGCTTTTTTAAAATTGAAAATCGGTTAATTTTTTAGTCCAGCCACCGCTTTTTGTATTTTTCTACCATCCGTAGGGGGTTTATTTGAAGGCAGCTATGAATTTGGTATTTGAAAAAAAAAATTGTAAATAAATTATCTATCAATCGCTTTTTTTAAATTAAAAATCGGTTAATTTTTTAGTCCAGCCACCGTTTTTTGTTTTTTTCTACCATCCGTAGGGGGTTTATTTGAAGGCAAATATGAATTTTGTATTTGAAAAAAAAAATTGTAATTAAATTATCTATCAAACGGTTTTTTAAAATTAAAAATCGGTTAATTTTTTAGTCCAGCCACCGTTTTTAGTTTTTTTCTACCATCCGTAGGGGGTTTATTTGAAGGCAGCTATGAATTTTGTATTTGAAAAAAAAAAATAGTAATTAAATTATCTATCAAACGGTTTTTTTAAATTAAAAATTGGTTAATTTTTTAGTCCAGCCACCGTTTTTTGTTTTTTTCTACCCTCTGTAGGGGGATTATTTGAAGGCAAATATGAATTTTGTAATTGAAAAAAAAATTTGTAATTAAATTATCTATCAAACGGTTTTTTTAAATTAAAAATTGGTTAATTTTTTAGTCCAGCCACCGTTTTTTTGTTTTTTTCTACCCTCTGTAGGGGGTATTTGAAGGCAGCTATGAATTTTGTATTTGAAAAAAGAATTTGTAATTAAATTATCTATCAAACGTTTTTTTAAAATTAAAAATCGGTTAATTTTTTAGTCCAGCCACCGTTTTTTGTTTTTTTCTACCATCCGTAGGTCGTTTATTTGAAGGCAAATATGAATTTTGTATTTGAAAAAAGAATTTGTAAATAAATTATCTATCAAACGTTTTTTAACATTAAAAATCGGTTAATTTTTTAGTCCAGCCACCGTTTTTTTGTTTTTTTCTACCCTCTGTAGGGGGTATTTGAAGGCAGATATGAATTTTGTATTTGAAAAAAAAATTTGTAATTAAATTATCTATCAAACGTTTTTTTAAAATTAAAAATCGGTTAATATTTTAGTCCAGCCACCGTTTTTTGTTTTTTTCTACAATCCGTAGGGGGTTTATTTGAAGGCAGCTATAAATTTGGTATTTGAAAAAAAAAATTGTAAATGAATTATCTATCAATCGCTTTTTTAAAATTAAAAATCGGTTAATTTTTGAGTCCAGCCACCGTTTTTTGTTTTGTTCTACCCTCCGTAGGGGGTTTATTTGAAGGCAGCTATGAATTTGATATTTGAAAAAAAAAATTTGTAAATAAATTATCTATCAAACTGTTTTTTAAAATTAAAAATTGGTTAATTTTTTAGTCCAGCCACCTTTTTGTATTTTTCTACCCTTTGTAGGGGGTTTATTTAAAGGCAAATACGAATTTTGTATTTGAAAAAAGAATTTGTAATTAAATTATCTATCAAACGCTTTTTTAAAATTAAAAATCGGTTAATTTTTTAGTCCAGCCACCGTTTATTGTTTTTTTCTACCCTCTGTAGGGGGTTTATTTGAAGGCAGCTATGAATTTTGTATTTGAAAAAAAAAAATTGTAATTAAATTATCT